CGTTCATTATAATTGCGTCGTGAAAACACAGAATTTCGTCAAATAACTGGAGGACTTGTTCTTAGTTTATTCTGCCACTTACACGGGAAAACTGACTATGTTGACCGTTCGGCTCCGAGACCGAGAGCAGACGAGAGCGGCGAGTCCATCTGCCAGGTGAGCGGCGTGCCCCAATCAGGTGGACTACAGCCGGAATTCCAAGGATGTTTTCAACAAAGCAAATGTGGAGAAAGGACCACGTTTAAAGGATTTAACATGCTTCTAGGTGTTTGACAGGTGCGGCTAAAGACTTTCTCACAACAAGGATGTAGAAAGAGTGTGCTGTACTAACTCTCGCTCTCGAGTGTGGGACGTTAAGTGCAGGCCTGGTGATTGGCCGCCGTGACGCCATCAACTATTAAAGACCAAAAGACAATTTCAGGTGAAAGAGACATTTAGGTATAAGAGACATTTAATCCTGGACGTTGCCTCAGGTCAGGGAGTCTGTGTGGCGGGCGTGAATTGTAGCAGTAACTGAAGTGCATCAGCAACTGTCTCATCTGTGATCACACACGAGGGCATTCCCGTTATTACCACGAATATTAACTACCTACCTCCTTTTACGTCCCCTTCCCCGGCTGGTACAATGTCTGTACAATACACAATTGATATCCAACTGACAGAATTGGGCTTTCCCGACGTCCTCCTGCGTCAGGAAAGCCTCTCGACGACATGTGATGACTCACAGTCACCTTGCCCCTCTCCTGCTTTGACAAGCCCTGACCCACCGAGGGAGAGCCAGCATTTAAAAAGGCAGCCATCCAAGCAGCTCAAAGGCCAACAGGCCCGCTCCTCGACTTGGCTTCAGGCAGATACTGGTCTCCGTGCGTCACCAAGTCAACAACTTAAATCACCACAGAGTGAAGCGGATGCTGTTGGTGTGGCAACCCCCCTGGAAGTCAATGGGAACAAACCGGCGGCACCTCAACAGCAACAGGAGAAGAGCGACTCAGATGATAGTGACGTTTCAGTGGTCTGCCATGAAGATGAAGAGGATGATGAAGATCAAGAAGGGCTTGACAATGGTAGGCCGTGCCTGTGGCGAGTATGGCTGTCGAAGTGCGAAATAGTTTAACTACTAGTTTTAGTTGGTGTAAGTAAATCCAGTATAGTACAGTATTTCCCTACAATTTACAGAGTACTGGGACCAAGTCCTGTAAATAGAGCAAAACCTTGAGTAATAGCCTATAGATGTTGTATGGTGCCATTTTTACATTCTTATCAATCATATATGTACAGTGAACCCCCACCTATTTGTTTTTTTTTTGTAGGCTACAACACTCAAAGCCTTCCAGTATGAATTGATGTTGAGAAATTACAGTATGTTATTATGAAGTGATACAGTTCGACTGAGCGACTAACATCTTTGTGCACCGAGGAGGTGCGAAGTTTAGTCTGGGTTGTTAATGTAAATTACAGAGGAGCAGAGCAGCAAGTACATGTACCTCTAAAAATCAGCTGGAAGCCATTTTTTAGAGAACTGTTCTAAGATAAGTTTGATAGAAAACTCGGATTTATTTAAAGTCACAATTTGTAGTAAATTTACTGTTTAAACTATTAAAAGAAGTAATTTTCAACATTTTACAGCATGGCGTCAATTACGTTATTTTTTTTCACTAGCCGCATCAGGGCTCGGTTCCTATTCCCTGAGAATGCCAGGGGTTTACTGTGTCATAAAACTAAAACTAAAATAAACCAAAACCACTTACCTTTTGAAGATTCCTCACAGATGTGAAATACAGAGGAAGAAAGAAGGTGTTCTCCCTCTATGGTTGTTAGGGGTACAGTCACCTAGCGGCATTTTATAGGGACAGAAGGTCCTTGTTTACGTTGGATTGCACTTTTCGCACGAATGGCAAAATTGTCATTTTTATTGTCATGAACTTAAGAATGTGACAATCTCACACCTCAACCGTCATTGTCTTCTCTACAGAGGTGGCTAATTCTGGCAACTACGTCTGCAGTGTGTGTGGCCTGCGGCTCCCCTCTGACTTTAAGCTCCAGGAACACATGAACCTACACACGGGAGCGCGCCCGTACTGCTGTGCCGAATGCGGCAAGCGCTTCTCGCAGGTCCACAACTACCGTTTGCACCTGCGCACGCATGGCCCGAGCAAGGCGAACCGGCCGCACTGTCGCATCTGCCTCATGTCGTTTGCCTCGCAGAAATCTCTGCAGCACCACCTGTCCAATACTCACTTTGAAAGTGAATTCTACGAGTGCGACCTGTGCAAGCGTGTGTTCACCAGTCTGAAGGCCTGCGAGCATCACGTGGCGTTGCACAATTCCATGCCGGAGGTGGTCTGCGAAAAATGCGGCCGCCATTTTACCCATGCGAAATCCCTCAAGCGACATCAGAGGAAGGCATGCTACCACATCTACAAATGCACTGACTGCTCCGAGACATTCAGCAACAAGGACTGGCTCCTCAAACACAGCTTCTCCCACCTCGGCCTCCTGCCTTACACGTGCATAAGGTGCCACTGTCACTTCCGCCTTGCCAAACTCTACCGCCAGCACAAGTGTGAACCCGAGCGCATCCACTGCGTGGCATGTCTGAGAGAGTTTTCCAGCCAGGGAGACTTCCTGCGACACAAGAAGGACACGGGCTGCTGGGGCAGCTGCGATGTCAAAGGGAGAAGCTGTGATGTCAAAGGGGACGAGATTCGATGTCTGGAATGCGGCCTCAGCTTTAGCACCACTGAGGAGCTCAAGAAACATGGTGGGGCTCACCAAAGGGTCCTCAAATGCGCAGAGTGTGGGAAGGGATTCCGCTCGGCCTTGTTGCTCATGTCCCACATGGGCGGCCATGCCGGCAACTCTCCTTGCCTCTGTCAGAGCTGTGGACTGGGCTTTCCCCATCAGCAGAACTACGAAAGCCACCTAAAGACATGTGGACAAACACCGCAGCCTCTCAAACCTGCGGTAAGTGTGGACTAGTTGATGACATTTCATACATCAATTAATTGAATGATTATTGTCAGCAGTACCTCAGCTGGTTGCGCATCATTTAGTTCACAACATGATTAATCTGTAATCAATCCGCACAACAAAATGATTAGTATGCAATGACATTGAACACATTGACTTTAAGAATGGAATAGAAACGTATTTCTTTGGTTGTATTAAGTTTGTTGAGGTTTTAGCAAACTGAAATCCACCCATCCTGGTATTTCTCATCACTGGTCTTCCTCAGGCTTCCATCCTAGGGCCCCTTCTATTCATTTTTTACACCATATCTTGGCCCATGTACTGCCCTTTCACAAAGTTAGGTCATTTTTGCAAAACCCTGCTCTTTGCAGTTTTGAAGGCGTTGTTGCCTCATTTTCCCGTGCCTGTCACCACATATTTTCAGAGTGGGCTTTTTGCATGTGAATCACCAGTACGATAAACCTGTATTTCAAGTCGAGCTGCTGATTTTGTCTCTTATGTCCAGTCTTCTTTTCCTTGAACGTTGTGGGTTGTCTTTTTGCCTCATCATTTGACCTATATATATATATATATATATATACATTTTTCAATTAATTGACTGTTTTTTCTATGATGGAATTTTATTTTGTCAAATACTGGAATTGTCATCTGCCTCAAAAAGAATCCATATTAGTTGGGCTTTAGTTTGTAACTCATTGTTGATAGCTTGTAGGCTTACTTATTTTATGACCGCATCATGTGACAGAGATGACTGGTTTGACGTGTTTACACAGGCGGATGAACCTGACTTTCAAAATCGAATTTCTTTCAGACGTTGATGGTAAACCTAACAGTAATTTCCACAAATGTCAAAACATCTTGTTTTGACATGCGGTGCTCATTTGAAAGAAATAAAGACTCCCGTTTCATATACCCTGTTTAATAATTTTTGTTTTTTGTATCATTTTAGACTGCTACAAAGAAACACCCTCCATCAAAGAAGAATCTTGAGACAATTCCCACCACAGATGATACATTGAATCCAGCACCAGCACACCCTGAGCCGACCCATGTGCCAAACACTGCGGCACCTGTCACCAACTCTGCGCTTCTGCAGTTCTCGACAGGGGATGAAGCTGCCTCAGATAGCTGCTGGAAGCTCACCCTTAACCAAATCCCCCCACCTGGTGCTAATCTCGTCCTGTTTGTTCCCGCCAATATGGAGGCCCTGACACTTCCGCCCGGGATCAAACATGTAGTCCCAGAAGTCCAAAATCTCGGAGCGCACCGCAGCTTTCCTCCTAATCAACATCTTGGCATGTGGCCTGCTATCCAAGATGCAGAGTGTGCACCAATGGATTTAACCAAGAAAGATTCCAATCCAACACATCCTCCTGTGGTTAAAAGTGAGCCGATGGAGTATGAGGTGACAGGAGAAGCGGCGAGACAAGAATTGAACAACTGTGTTGTGGATCTTTCAACAACATCCTCCATAATAAAAACTGAGACTCAATCTCCTGACTCAACATAGAAGCTGTCGGGAGAAATTAAAATGGAGGTTGACTTTCTATAAACACCCGAGAGAGACAATAATACCATTTGATGGCTACACTCAACAGACTCAGATGTTTAGGGGTTCTCAGCAATACTAGTATCGTTTAGGTTAGTATACATCTGTTATTCTTTTCACAAAAACATTCCTACCTTTGGCACATTGGGATCATTTTATTGACAATAAAAATTGCAGTATTAAATTGATACCCAATACAATTCTTGCTCAATTTGTCCAAGATTTTTTTTAAACCTTTTTTTATGTGTGACAAAAATTGAAATACATAAAGGATATAAACTCTGGGTTTCTTATTCTTCAATATTTGAAATAATGTTTATGTGAAGCGTCACATTAATTGAACTGTGTACACTGAAACTGAAACATTTATTTTTGTGAATGCAAACACTTTGTTTTTCTTCTTTCTACCCCCCAATTTTGCTGCTGTAGACTGTAAATTTCCCCAGTGGGGGACAAATAAAGGATATCTTATCTTATTAAATACGCTGGTTCATGCAAATTCTGCAACTAGATGAGCAAAACATCACACTTTTAAATTATTGAATATTCCAAAAAATGCATGCATATTGACATGATTTATTTAGGTTGCAATACATGTATATTATGGCAGTGAGTCTGAAGTTAAAATATCTGTTCGGTGGGAATGATGAGAAAGTTGTCTCGGAAGTGTCTGCTGTTAAATTGCAAATGATGTGGTTTGCTGTAGCTCATGAGCTACTACTTTTCACAAGTAAATTTACAGATTGAGTGTACAAATATAAATTGTAGGTTCGTGTAATTAATCCATTAAGGACATTTTTTCGACATTGGATTGAACTGAGCAGTGTGAATGCTGAATATCAGATGAGCATGCAATAACCACAGAATCTTCCAAATGAAGAGTGAAGCTCAGACATCAGAGTTACTGATGATCATAAGATCATTTTTACGTTTTATGTAGACTCTACTCAGGAATTGTGCTTGCGACTTGCATTTTATTGCATGTGGTATTTCTTAAGCAGCGCTTGTTGGAAGTTCAATGTCGTTTAATGCATACTGATTTAATAACGTAGCACAAATAAAGATTTGCGGGAAAATTATATCTGACCTGCTGTCAATCCGCATAGAGCATAACCAAGTACAAGGTCATCTAGATTCTAGAACAACTAAGTGTATTTTGTGACATACATGTAAACATGTATAATGCATTTTTGTATCTATGACAGGGTTCATTTCATGTCATGAAATGCTGATATGGCTTGACACAATACATATCTATAGTGACTAACCACATTATGACCACTACCAAGGTAATAATGATCATCTTTGATTCGAACTGTATTCAATGTTATTTTGGATATATTTTGCAGTGGTATATGTGCTGCATCGGAATGTGAGCTGTGCCAAGTAGGCTATTTTGTTGACGTCAATTAGGTAAAATAAGATGCTAGAATATTATATTTACCGAATGTATTATTCGTCATACATAATAAAGTAATGTATTCAAAATAGATTTTAACAGTCTTTATTTATAACATGTGTGTTGGACGTCTCAACAGCTGCATTTGACTTCCGGTCACATGTCTGAAACACCGGAAGTTACACATGCTAGCCAGCGATATTGATCATACAAAAAATGTGATTCTCTGTATTTTATTCGTCGTGTTTCTTGTACAGTTACCTTTAAGTAAAGTAGACAGTATAAATTAAGTCGAGTTTGTGAAAATTGATGGACAAAGACAAGAGTAGCGACACTGTAAGTAGTCGTAAATACCACAACAAAAAATCTTGCTAGCCCGTGTCACTCATTTTGTTCCGTATTGCACCCTGCAGCCTGACCAAAGCAATTGGATGGAGATGCACCAGTTTATCGGCGACCTCCTGATGTCTGGGAGCTCCTCAAAGGAGCAGCCCGACATCATGAACATGTGGAGCTTGTTAAGTGGGGACACACTCCAACAAGCCCGACCGATGCACGACAAGACCGAGGCGGCGCTGAGGAAAAACACTGCCAGAGACGGTAAGTGTGTTTTTTTGTTTTTTTTTTTTAAGTTTGCAGCCTCCTTAATATGCTCGTGAGGGTTTCACTAATTAGTGAAGTGTAGTATTATCAGTCAAACACTAACGACGTTTGATGTACTGAGCTGTCGTTGTGTCACGTGGCACCTATTGATAGCCAATCGAGAAGCGAGTTGCCTGAAGAGGACAAATAAATACTGTACATCGTGGCGACAGGCACTGCTACAGAGCGAAGCTTCAAGTTTTGATTGACTTAAGAAATGGAGGCGAACTCGATGATAAACCTGCTTATATAATAGCGGAAGGAATGGAGGCTAACTCGATGATAAACCTGCTTATATAACAGGCGTTACTCATTTTAAAGAACGGAAAGGAAAGATGGTTTGCTTTCAAACCTTGCCGTTTCTCAATTGGCGTTCTTGTCCGTTTCTACTTACTTTGGATTTCTCATCAGTCGAGGCCTAAGTACTGTCCCAATTGAAAGTAGGTCTAAACCAAGAACACACAGAATACCCAGTTGTTGTTCTTGTCAGTTATGTAAATCAAGGATGCAACAATTGGATACTTGTGAAGGCTTGGCTAGGAAAATATCCCAAGATGCATTTTGTGTCAGGACCCCCAAACAAATATACATGTATTGGAAAAAACATTTGACAAAAAATATGCAAATAGGTCAATCCATAGGTGTCGCAATGTGAGTGTGCAGGGGGTCCACTGTAGTAGAGGAAACATGTTTATCATCCACCCTTCCCATTTCATTGGGTGGTGGGGGTAATTAAGGGGCCACTCAGAGTGTGGGTACAGGCCACGCGTGAGCTGAAGGCTGCCAATTGCTCATCCCTGGTCAAAGCAGATGCTTCACTCCCTGTACATATGTTGCCCCCGCCCCCTCCCCCCGCTCATACCTCCATGTCCATTGAACAAATGGACAACACAAGAAATTCTGATATTCATGTGTCACATTTGACATATCCTTTTGCTGTCACGTGTGCTAGATATGCGCCATGTCTGCACCTGCCCTGGCTGCCCTTTCTCATCTCCCAGAGCCTCGTCTTTACTTCCATGCTCGGAGGCTCGAAAAGAGCAAGGCCCCTCCTCCGCCTCCACCTCCACCAGTGCTCCTCTCCCACTGAGTTCGCATGACAGCTGCCCTGAACCTGGCAGCTCATCTGAGAGCAGGCCAAACCCGGAAACTCCGCCATGCCGACTGTCCTCCTTGAGCCAGCTAGCCTCCGTATTTCCTTGCTCCGCCTTCTGCCACACGCACCACCACTTCCACCACCGCCACTGCCCTATAAGCACGTGCCTGGCATACCCACAATCTCCCTTCCCCTGCCTGGCATCTTTGCAGGCCCGCCTGCACCACCGCGCGCCAGAGGAACGCAGCCGCCCGCCGACGGCCCCCTTGCCACACCTCTGCATGCACTGCCCGGCGTCCTTCTCCAGACCCTCGCAGCTGCTGCAGCACCAGCGTGCCGAGCACGCCCAGAAGTCTTCCGGCTTCCTGTGCACGCAGTGTGGACGCACCTTCAACTCGCATAGCAACCTACGTATCCACCTCCATGTGCACACTGGCGCCCGGCCATACGCCTGCTCTGAGTGTGGCAAGGGATTCAGCCAGTCGGGCGCTCTAAAGATCCACAAACGAATCCATACGGGTGAGAGACCGTACTCCTGTGGCTTCTGCGGGAGGGGTTTTCCCCACCTGGCAGGAGTCCGAGCTCATCAGAGGATCCACACAGGGGAGAAACCTTACCGCTGCAGCCAGTGCGGCAAGTGCTTTACCCAATCCGGAGCCCTCAAGATTCACATACGCATCCACACCGGCGAGCGGCCGTTCATCTGTAACATCTGTGGAAAAGCCTTCTCCAACCGCTCGGGCATCCGCTTCCACAACCAAACCGTCCACGGTCTGGCCCCGGAGCAGGCAGGGCCCACGGGGGTGACGCTCGGGCGTCCTCGCGCTTATCCACCCGCTAATCTGAACACTCCTCACAGCCCTGACGGCAATGCTCCGTCGCAAACTGGCAGTCTCTCTGGATTCGCACTGCTTGGTGGGAACGCTGGCAAGGGTCCGACGGAGGGAGATAGCACAAGGCTGATTTACGCGTGCGAGGACTGTGGCCTGCGTTTTAAAGATGCACCTTCACGGAACAGACACCAGACTGTGGCACACTACTCTGCAGAGGAGGGGGCTCCCAAAGATGGAAGCACAAATGAGGGTGTCAGTCATGACAGTGGAGATTAAGTGTTGCATTAAAGGTACAACTCCAAATTGTTGCCAAATGACATTTGTTACAAAAAAAACAAGTATTGCTCATAGTTATGCAGCAAACCTAAAATAAATGTATGATCGCTTCATATTATCACATCCAACAAATTGCTGAATAGTTTTGAAATCAGAAGCTCGTAAAAACAGTTTGATATTTGGTGACAAAAATGGTTATAATATCTGAATGTCTTAAAATCTGAAATTTTAACCAATTGCAAGTGGGTCTGGGATGCCTCCAATATGATAAATATTTGGTGACTAAAATGGTTATAATATCTGAATGTTTTAAAATCTGAAAACAATTTGCGCTTTTGGTATTTTAGCAAAAAACATGAAGTCGACACACATACTGTAATTTGCTTTCGCGGGCTGCATAAAATCACATGGTGGGCCAGATCTGGCCCCCGGGCTTTGAGTTTGACACCGGTTCTCTAGTGGTAATCAAAACCATCACTGAATTGAATATTCAAACTGTGCACAATGTGATTGAAATCCAGCACAATGGATTTGGCAGGTACAGTCCAGTTGTATTAAACTTTTGAGTGCAATACATTGCCATTCAATCATTTAGAAATATTCTCTTCATAGTTATTTTTCTCAAAATCATACTCACCTTTAATGTGGAATACTTTTTAATGTATTATTTAAGCATTTTTCCCCTTTTTTTATTTAAACACAGTATTAATGCTCAAACTGTGCATAATGTTACAGTATCTTACGGTAATATTAAATATTGTTATTTTAGGAATAAAACCTATATCTTGCTGTTGATTAGTACTTAGCCATTCTACACTATGTTGTAGAATGGTCATCATCATGGTAATTGGAGAGCAAAGCTTTATTTATTTTTGTGATACTTGGTGTGAAAAATGTGAGAACCACTATTTCGGTGTTTGTCATTTGTGCCTGTTAAATTGCGTTTTTTTTTTAAATTGAGTTTTACAGTATTGTGGTAAAAGTGAGCCTCATTTGCCGATATGCTTTTCAACCTTTTATTGAATGCAGGCATAACAGTGAAACATACATGTGAGCTATTAGCCACAGCTCACACCCAAACGCTCGAATGAAGATTTACCAATGTCACGTGCCACCCACCAAGTCCCACCTCTTAACTCATTCAATCCCAGCCATTTGCACTGGAGCAACCCCCTCAATCCCAGCGTTTTACTAGATTTTGAATGATTTTGCAAGGCCAACAGAATATTTGGTTCTAATGCTATATAAACATGGAGCCTACCAAAATAAAGTTTTGACTCTCTTCTTTCAGCAGAAAAAAAAATTGTTTCGACTGTCTTTTTCCATTCTTCAGCAATCGCATTACAAAACGGCTAAGTTTCATGAAAGTGGCGATTCCTGGGCAAAAAACGGAGAAAAAGGGCTTGTAAAAGCCTGCATTTCAATCATGTGAGGCACCACTGCCACCTACTGGTCGCTTTTTTACATGATCTACAATGCAAACGGTTTATTCTCATTCACAGATTGCATCAGACCCTCCTCATCTCTATGAAGCTAAAAAAAGACTTATAAGTACAAGTACGTCCTTTGTAGGCGGGGCCTAATTTTAAAAAGAAGTACAAGTATGTCTTGTGGAATGAAAGAGTTACAGGTACATGCATTTAAAGTATGTAACAAAAATTACAATATGTATTGTATTTCCTGTTATGTTTGCATTTTTTTGTATTCAAATATGTTTATATTGTGTTTTAGTAAGGTTAAACGTGTTTGTGTATGAATGTTTTTTTTTTGTTTGTTTTTTTTTTAATAAATAGGCTCAAATTTTAACCTATTGCAAGTGGGTCTGGGATGCCTCCAATATGATAAACGAGGTTCACTGTACAGGTATTTTCAGTTCAGTTTATGTAAAAAAAAAAGGGATTAGATGGGTGGAGAAAAGCTTGTTAAACCATTTAAAATGAACATTTTCAGAACAGATTTTTCTACGATAATGACAGAAAAAAAAAGAAATACAAAGCCAGAAACATGGAGTAAACCCTCTGGTTGCCTTGTTGGGCCATATAAAATGATCTTTGGGGCGACAACAGGACTTAACCATGACACATGATTCGGTGAATCACTACAATATGAGCAATACAATCAAATAACAAAATCAACGTATTTTACCCAGCAGATGCTAGCTTACATAGCATATTAGCTGAAATGCTTGCCAACAAACGGCACATTGTTACTATGTTGTGAAAGTGTATTTTGTATGTTTCACAACCTAACAATGTTGACTCATAGCCGAGTGATAGACCAGTGATTCCCAACCTTTGTAAAATGGCACGTCGCTGCACGATGAGGGATTATCAAGTGCGCCACCGGAAATGATCTAATTTTGCCTAAGTAGTCCAATAATTATTTGGTTGACAAGTCACGTCTTTCTTCATCTATGCCAGTGACGTATTGTAGAGCAATTAATGCAACTTTTGTGCCTTCAATTTGTCTTATGTTAGGTATGTGCCTTTGCTCATGATAGAGAAACAACTTCAAACGTGCATGCCAATAAAACAGTCATATATAACCCAGCATGTGTTCTTAGGACACATACTGGTTACAATATCACCTGGAGGTGACAGTACCCCACCACACCTTTTATCTTCCGTCTCCATTATGTGTCATCAAGAAGTGAGTCATTTTACTTGGATTTAGTTTTATTAGTGTTCTGCCAATTTTTCTGCACCTGCTTGCTCATTAATGACGTCAAAATGTGCATTACAACTAAGATTTCCTGGTGACTTTGGAAGTTCCACTGTTGCCTCCTGTAATAGTTTTTTTTTCTTCAAATATGAGATGGGAGTAGCTCGAGCTGGCTTGGTCACTGCTCAGTATCAGCAAGAATACCGAATACTCACAGGACATTGTTAGTTACACTAGCTCAATCTACTGACATCAATTCTGTTTCTATATGATGTTTTTTTTTGGAGAGCAGCATCACATCATTGTCAAAGTGGTTTAAAACCCATGTTGTACCGAAAGTTGTGACCCGTGATGGATTTATTGATGAGCTGTGTTCACATGTAAAATAGCTTTGTCGTGCCTTCCAAGTGAATTCTTTCTCCTTTCTATTCCCAAAATGACACGACAAAAACCTTCAATCAAGACACATTTTTTATGCAACCAATAGTTGTATTATTTAAAAAAAAAACGCAAAACAGCTGTAATTAACAAAAAACAAAAAAAAGCACAATTTATTTATTAAATGTTAATGTGAATCTTGAATTTAAGACAACTGACACACCACGAAAGTGACTGAATTCATATAAAAATCCAGTGTTGGTGTGTCGTAGACATTTTTTGTGCACTAATGTAAAAAAAAAATGTTAGACAGTATTTTGTTTTTTTTTCAGGCATTTTTTGTGCACTAATTAAAAAAAAAAAATGTTAGACAGTATTTTGTTTTTTTTTTCCTTCTGCACAGATACAATGTAGAATCTCAACATGTCCATTGTGCCTTTGTGTCATAAAATATTCTTTTATTAGCATGTTGCACTCAGTACTGTAAAAACAATTGTCCGGTCTACCTGTTCAATGTTAAGAGTTCATTCAAGCCACTTGGTGGTACTCGACAGTATTTGGCTATCACATCATTACCAGTGCATCACAGTTGGAAGAAAAGGTGACTGTAAATACTAATGCATGCATTCTCACGTGTAATTTGTTGTTTTGCTGGAAAACTGTTTTCTGAAAGTGCAGCTTGTGACCAAAACAATGATTTAATCATTAAAAAAAAATACATAATGAGATTTTGAAGGAGTCATATTCTCTTTGTGCAACATTGTGGATTCATCCTTTGTTCTCCTTTCAGAATACACAGTAGTACGCGACGGCCCCCACATGACCTTTGTGATCCACTTTGGGTTCTTGTGTCACTGGAGAATCGGCTGTGTCAGTTTTGGCCCATCTCGGACAACACAGTCCATCCCGGTTCCTGTGAGTTGGCCTCACAAATGTTCCTCGTACCGCTTTAGTAAAGAGTAACATGACTTCGGCTCAGCATAGACGACGCTGGTAGGTCGTGGTGCGTTAGTGTGGAGGGCGGGAGTGCAGTAGCCATTGTCCAGCATCCTATGGGAGGGGCACTCGTAGCTCCCCGGGGAGCCGGGAGATGCCGACAGCGGGGGGCCCTGTGCGCTGCTGTGAGTGCCCCCTGCTGTGGGTGCGCAGTCTTGCTCGCCGAACGGTGTGGCGTATTCGGGCTCCGGCGGAAGCGGCTCTGCATACTCCGGCAGGTTCCCAGGGGAGTCGTAGTGGACGAACGTGAAGGGGATGGTGTAGGCCTCGTCTGAAGAGGGGCGAAATGTAGAGCCCACCTTCTGTCCAGTAGCGGGTTGGGCATAGTCTGCAAAAACACAGCATTTTCTATCACTTATGGTCAAATATATATTATTGTTTGTATTCCATATTGCCTATACTAGTAAATTATTTAATTTCTCTGAAACTATTAAAAGGCGAAGCTTATGATCCAAAGCATAGCACACAATGTGCTTACCTATCTATCCCAACGAGTCGCCAGGTTTATTATCCACTTGCGGTAAATAAAAGCTTCCTTCCACTTTGTAATAAAAACGAAGCAACGGCACTACATCAGCTTGTAATAACTGTTGTAATTAATAAATAAAAGCCTTGTTTAGAAACAGACATTAACGCATAAAGCATTAACTGCTGTGCCCAAAGCAAACAACAGCACCTACAGAGGCATGTCAACGGTCTCCCAGTTAAGTGATTCTTAACTATGGGGCGGGGATTGTGGGCAATCAGGTCGTGAGCCTTGAGCAGGGACAGCTCCAGAATTTTTTTCTCACATGGGGCCAAAGGGGGCTTGACTGGGGGCAGGCTGAGAAAATAATGGATAAATATATTTTTGAATGTCTCAATCTGCTGGACGGGATTAACTGGGGCTACATAGATTTTAAAACACAAATATACCGGTAATATTTGTGCCTACCTCTGGGAATCGTTTTGAACAGTGTTTGTTGATTGATGAGTTAGTTTGTCATTGTAGGGTCACTGTATGTCCTTAACACAGTGTTCCCTCTTCAGACACCTGGCACTACGGTGCCGACTCTTTCAGGGATGGAGGTAAAATTTCAAACAAATTTCCAAAAAGGAGGTAACTATTTAGTTTGAAGGAAAATACGGACGTGGCCACGTTGAAAAAAAAAAAAAAATCCACGAAGTTGCCATGGAAAAGAAGCTGGCTGTATTTGATTTTGACCATCCACCGTGTTGTGCATTTCCACCACTTAGAGGACAGGCGTGGAACAGTATCACAGTGATTCCTAACGTGCCAGACTTGCATGTCCAGGTCGTCAGGTACAGTTTCTCTCACTGTTATGTGTAGGAAACCAACCAAACATTGATCTACAATCTACATTAGCAGCTGGGCCACCACCAAATGACATCCCCTCCCTCCACCCATCTCTTTCCGGCCTCATAAGAGCCCACTCTTCTGCCTAGCTTGTGCAGTGTAGGGCCCAGACACCCCCACAGGAGCTAGAACAGGACTTTCTAATTAGACAGGCTGTGCCGGACGCCAGTTTGTCTTAGCGTCGCCCTTCCGTCCTGTTTATCAGTCTCAATAAAGGGGGCCCTCTGTGGGGCGAGGGGTGGTGGTGGGGAGGGGTGTTTAGTGGAAGGCTCGAGTCTCAGGCTGAGCGGCCTTTATCGAGCGCCAATTATAGGGTCCTTTTCAGAGAGGCTCCGCTGGCAAAAGAAAGGAATGTTTACACAGTGACTGGGTGACGAGCTAAAGAATGGACAGCCCGCGGAGAGAGCTGAGAAGTCCGCCGTGACAGCCCAGTGGGGAAAAATGAAGGACGGCGGGAATGACAAGTAGAATCCCAATAGGCCGACCAAAAAGGACTGAATCTTGCCGCCTGGACAAACCACATCACTGATATCATTCTGACCATTGCGTGGGGGGCTCGGCAGGTTGTCGTGGATATTCCGCTCCAGAGGGTATGAGATGAGCTCTGATGGAGGACACGGGAGAGTCTTCTCCTGGAAACTTTGGCAACCTGCTGAACACAGTCACGGTTACTCTTTAACCCCGATGAACAACTCTGGCATCAAGTTGAGGGAAGAAGCACACTTACTTGTTGGCACGGAGTATTTCAATTGGGTTGCCTTTTTCCTGCATGGAAGCAAACACACACCATGACAATGTTTGACAAAAGACATCGACTATCTGTACATCTACCAGCTCATTCACTCAAATAGACCTCAATTCATCATATGGGGAACATTTTCTACAGCAGAGGGGCACCAAGACGGTGTCAGCGAGCACTAGGTAGTCTCCAAGTACCACGTGGGTAGCCCGCAGGCCCAGACGGTCACCCCACAGAGCCTTGGGTTCTGTTTGAGGTTTCTTCCGTAGAGGGAGTTTTTCCTTCCTTTGGTTTTCTGATACACACGCATATCATGTATTATTATTTAAAAATATCTTGAATGGTAGATTAATCCTTAATCCATCGACATTAAGAAGAAATATTGATTCCATTATTTGGTCAATAAAAATTGGTTTAGTCAGAGGCATCTTTTGCCAACATAACAGCTTTGGTATTTTCTCAGTTCGCTTTCTGATGTGGATTTTGCTTCATGACTTGGAATGACTTTCACTTCACAGCTTGTGCATGAATAATCGTCACTGGCTTGAATTTCTTGACCTCTTGATGTGATTGCGATCATTTGAATATGACGATGTTTCCAAACGTTTGACTGGTTCTGCATAAGGAATGTGGTTCTTGATCTCTTTAATGTGAAATGCGCCTTGAGATGACTTCTATTGTGATTTGTCACAGAAAAAAAAAAAAAGAAAATTCACTTTTTTTTTTGTGCCTGAATCTGTCAAGATAGGAAACTGAGTCACAACTTGTTGATAATTATTTTGAGAAATTATTAACATTGGTTTCTTTACATAGATAAATATCAGTGCTTATTAATAACATAATAGTTTTTGAGCCATCTTATTTCAGAAGTGTATCTCAAACTTGGAGCTGTTTGCTTTAATTAAGATCCAAGAAGCAGCTCTCGGTTTCAAAAATGATGATGCAAAACAACTATCCAACCGCTTATGACGTGTTATCTACATTATTGAGCTGCGGAGAGTCTTTTTTTCTAATAAACGGCTGGCATTCTCTGCATTTGAGTTAACTCATTCACTCCCAAAGACGTTTTTAAACGTCTTTTCAGACTTGGTCTAGAATTGGCTAGTACTGAATGAGTTAATAAAAAGCATCGGCCATTACCTGAGGAAATGTGGTGTATTAAAAAAAAAAAAACACACCTTCCCTTCCACCAGACTCCAGCCAACAAACAACAGAAGCACATGATTAGTCCCAGGACCACTCCCACTGCGACGATGACTGGTTGACTGGATCCTGCACAGCCATGAGTAAGTCATTTGTATTCATGGTACAGCATATGAGATTCCCAGTGTGTCAAAAATACAGTATATGCTCTCACTCTGCTTGGATTCCACCAAAACGGGACGTTCTGTGGTCGTGAGAGATGTTTTTGGAGTCGCCGCGTTAGCTTTGCCGGACGGAGATTCTGTTCGGCAAAAATAAATAAAGCATGGCCAATAATGCTAAGAGATGAATAACAGTTGAAAAAGACGGGAGACGATACCTACCGTCAGTTGAACGAGATCTTGGCGTGACCTTGACAGGGCAGCCCAGGATTTGGAGTTGAACCGAACCTCGGCCATGGCGGCGCTGAGGCCGCACACGGACGAAGCGAGCCACGGCCGGAGGAAACAGGCTGTTGAGCACCCTCGGGTGACCGTCGGCAAAGGCCTCAAACACCTTGGAAGAGAGAGAAAGCTGCTTGATTTATCCTGTGAGGAAAAAAGAAATGAGAGCCACAAGAACAACTGATAATTTCTGCACGACCATATCAGCAAAGGTAGACAACTCAACCTTTTCTTGTTTGCTGACAGCGTCTTTGTAAACTTTCCAGTTCTTCCTGTCTCTGCTAAAGAGCAGCGAGTAGGATTTGAAGTGGTTCTCGCTCGATCCGGTTGTAATCACTCCTGAAAAAAAGGGAAGGGAGACATTGTTGTTTCACTTCGCACTTTGTCCGTGAGAATGTGTTCTGGTTTTGTGAGGTGTCCCATCAAATGTGAGGCCTCATTACAGAGCGCTTCCTTTTAATGATGCGCTTCCTCCATTTACGTTACCGTGCAGCATTTCGGGGGTATGAATAGCACACAATCACACAGCTGAAGGACACATGGTCATGTGGTGCAGGAAGTTGTTTTTTTTTTTTTTTTTCCATTTGACCGTTTTCGATTTATGGCTTAGAAGTGTTTTTCCATGCAAGTATTTAGCGGAATTATGACAAGGTTACTCCAAATTTGGGTTAGGCCGCCACCACCATGAGAACAGAGCTCTGTCTTTAATCAAGGACACGCTTTACTCAGTTTACCAAAAAAAAAAAAAAAGTCGAATTTCTGATTTGATTCTTTTTCTGCTTCCTTATAGAAAGAAAAACAAACGAACAAAAAAAAAATGACAATAACATTATTCAAAACAAGTTTGCTTTCCAGTTTGCTGTTAAAAAAAAAAAGAGTGCTTGCACTTTTCTAATGTAGAGATGTACAGGTAAGCAACCCAATCACGGCAAAATATCTGGAAACCACGACGGTACTTTGGGTCAACAGTTTCCAACATGTTCATTCATCTTTTGCTTTTGAAAAAATATATTAGAGGGTGCCGCGTCTTTGTAAATGTTGAGAGTGATTTACTCTGTGATTGCCTTCCAATGGGGACCTTTCTTGTCACACTGAACAGTATGCGAAAATGGCTGTTCTCATGTTGTCCTATGCAGGAATTCGTTGCTAGTGACTTAAAAAAAAAAAGAAAATAAAAATATTTGCAACAGGGATCTGAGAAGTTGCTAAATACAGTGATCAAATCAATGAGTCGGTAACACTGACTGCGCTTTCTCAACCCGCCCTACTCTCATCATGTAAAGGTAAAATGGTTATCAGTGGGGATGTACTTTGATCAAAAGAAGCCGCTAATAAAGAATCAATTTTCCAGATAAACAAATATAATACATCACCCTGACAAATCCACAAACTAAACGGCTCCATTGTTTAATGGTCCCTGGCTGCTAGCTCTTAAAATGGATTTATCGCATTTATAAGAGCGTGGCTTCGAGGCCACACTATCTTAAAACTAAAAAGGTTTTCAAGAGGGCTAATTTTCTTCCGAAAACTCCCGTTCAATCCTACCTGTGATAGAGCTTTTATCAGCGAGTCCAAGCTCCACCCAAGGCGACGGATCGTTCCAGCCTGCGGTCCAGACGAGCCCCTCGTGTCCAGAATGTACATTCTTGGCGGACCAGGACAGTTTGTCCTCTTTGTCACCAAAAGATGAGGCGTTTAAACCAGTCGCCGTCAGGATGTTATTACATTCTGTTGAGTAATCAGAGGTGCTTGTAGTTGACACGATGCTGATGTTTTGTAAACCGCCACAAAATAACATTTCAAAACTGCTGTAAACACACTTCAGAATGAAAATGTGACTTGAGGCTATCAAGCTGTACCTTGAGTGAACACCAGTTTCTTTTCAGATAATGAGCCCCTGTCCAAAGAGAAAAGTCAGCATTCAAAAGAAAGCATTTGAAGGAGAAAGTGATAAAGATTGTGGGGTTTTTGTTTTTTTACACAATTGAAAGCAGATTAACCCCTGCATTTTACAAACGTTTTAGAAAGGATCCCGTTGGAAAAGGTGGACTCGTAAAGCGTCAGGCTCCTCTCACGGCTCATGCTCACGCGACCTCCGAGCTGGTCGGACGTTGCGCCGGCGTGCACAGCAGACTTACACAGCACCGATGTCTGTGGCGGAGAGGGCAGAGGTGAATTACAACTTTACACAAAGATCTAGCAAAATGACAACAACCGTGCAGAAAAATGGCCACTGAAGCTCGATTTCCAACAAGTGGTTCAGTTCGCTAATTTATGCATTTTATTCCACTGTAAAAGGGTTCAGATTTGTGGGGATGCCGGTTGCTCCTCGATTTGGGAGGGTGGAGGTACGCACACTGCACGGTGTTGATTGGTTATCTGAATCTGCCTCATTCCCGTGGTACAATGAATTACTCGGGAAGAAAACCAGTCATGACAAGAGTTCTGTTCCTTTGGTGCGGTTGTAACTCAAATTTGTTTGGTAGTTGGCGCTATCATAACCTACTGCTATCGCGGGAGTAAAGGAGTACCCTCCTGGATTATCATTCGACCCGCATCTGTAAATTTTATGTTTTGTTGTGGACTGGTCAGAGTTGATCGAATTGAAACTGTGTTGATCTAACCTGAACTACGAGGTGGAAACATGATGTGAACCCAACTATCAACTCCCAACTTTTAAATGCCATGTACTTACATCTCGGTAGCCCCGATCGGGACCTCCCCATATGTCTCCAGTCACATTTTTACACCCGGCAGGGCAGTAAACTCTGAAAAGCAGAAGACACTTGCTGGGTAGTCTACTTGTTTAACAAGGACGAGAAACATGCAGTATTCACCAACCTCACATGCGGCAAGTTAAAATGAGACCCTCGTTGTAAACAAGAGACCATATCTGCAACAACAAGGGAGACAAAATAATGTCACTTGATTTCGAATGGGATTTAAAGGACGACGTGAGTACGTATTAAAGGGCTTACATAACAACCCCCCCACCCTTTCCAACACAGACATGAGATAGCCCAGTGTGTTGCTATATTAGGGGATGAGCGGTCATCAGTGTTGAGATGAGCAAGGCCTTTGTTGCGCTGACTTGACGAGCACGGCGACTGGCTCTCGTGTGATCTCAGCTAACAGACGGCGGTTTGTGCATCCAGACATGGCGAGATTTCACAAACAAGCTACGGGAAGACAGGAAACTGTGATACACGCAGCGTTGTCCGGATGACCTCATCTGGGGGACACTAAGTATAGACTCCTGTTCAGACCAGTCACATGACGCAGGAAAAAAAAAATATAAATCTCTTTGTCAAACATAAGATGTCCCTTGTCAAATACATGTCATGTAACCGTTGTTACATGGCCTTTGGTGGTCCTGGGGTTGCAAGAGGAGAAGAATCAATGCTCACTGAACAACACGCTGAAGCCAGAGGCCTCCCAGTATTCCTCCCGCCATGATAACACGTGTTGGGTGCTGTAGTAACCGTGTGCGTCTCCGAACCCCTTAGCCTCGCCCATAGTGATGGCTGTGGTACATACCAGGATAAAGGTCTGTGGCGTAGGACAGTAGAAAGCCCCGTCCGGACCGATGTGACCCCGACTCGAAGGTTATTGTCACTTCGTTGCTTGCGAGTGTCATATTCTTTTGTGACGCATTCAGTCTCCCACAAACCGGTCCTGTTGAACATACAGAAAGCTATTTTAAATTAGCATTCAATGATGCATATCGTATATTAACTCCTAACCAATCCAGGATGGACACCACCTCATGCCCAACGTAGGCTGGGATGAGCTCAGGCTAACCCGCAAGCCTAATCAGATGAAACACTAAAGAAAATGGCTCCAAAGATATGGTATACAGTACTATTTTTCTTCTCCAAGCTGCCTCCTGAAGTTCGAGTGTGAGTAGGTCAACCGATTGTCCCAAAAGATTTATTTGCAATGTTCTACATAAAATTCTTAACACTTTTACAGATATAAAGTTAACTGCTACATTATATATTTTAACTAAATACGAGTACATTCAAGTAAAAACTACTCACTTTCTGAAGATACTCAATGGGCAGATAATTGAGAACCAAAAGGATCAAAATGTGGTGGGGCTTTTTTTTGTGTGTGTAGTTTTGTTTTTTTGGTGGTGGGGCTTTTTTTTGTGTGTGTGTAGTTTTGGTTTTTTGGGCAAATATGTCGAGTCTTTTCCATGCTATTAGGACAACAGATTGTCCCAAAAGATTTATTTGCAACGTTCTACATACAATTCTTAACAGTTTTACAGATATAAAGTTAACTGCTACATGATATATTTTAACTAAAAACGAGTACATTCAAGTAAAAACTACTCACTTTCTGAAGATACTCAATGGGCAGATAATTGAGAACCAAAAGGATCAAAATGTGGTGGGGCTTTTTTTTGTGTGTGTGTAGTTTTGGTTTTTTGGGCAAATATGTCGAGTCTTTTCCATGCTAGTCATTAGCCAAAACGATTTCAGCTGCATTCTGTTGACATTAGCAAGTGCTAAGTCAAAATAATTAGTGTATTTAAGTAATATTGAATTGTATTGGTCATATTAAATGAGTATATATGAAAAATATAGATTTAATATGATTGCGATGACCAATCTAGACACATTGACATCGGTGGGGCTTTTTTTTGTGTGTGTAGTTTTGTTTTTTTGGGCAAATATGTCGAGTCTTTTCCATGCTAGTCATTAGCCAAAACGATTTCAGCTGCATTCTGTTGACATTAGCAAGTGCTAAGTCAAAATAATTAGTCTATTTAAATAATATTGAATTGTATTGCTCATATTAAATGAGTATACATGAAAAATATAGATTTGATATGATTGCGATGACCAATCTAGACACATTGACATACCACAAGAAATTCAATTGCCAGTTGTATATTTATCATTACGCTTTTCCTCGTTGCCATCGCTGGTTCATTCTGTGATGTCATGGCAAAAATCATAAAAAGCCAAAGGAAAAAAACAAAACACAAACACATTCAGCTGAATTCTGGCAAGATTATGTTTTGAACTTCCACTTTGGACTTTTCGGTTGAGCTCCAAATTGTTCAAATTGTGCAATGTTTTGACCACTGTATTTGTCAGTCGAAGTCAATACGCAATGTAGCGTTTTCTAATGATGATCCTTTTGGGTGAGTACAGAACTGTATGAGGCATCTGTGAACTCACTCGCTGCACAACATTAGTGAGATTAATATTAAAGAGTTGTAGAATGTCCCTGCTTGTAGGAACAGTAACCCGGCAGAGAGAAGAGAACATTACAGTCATGACTCAGTTAGTACGGTATCCAGTAACAAACACAACTGGCAGCGCAAATCCTTCTATCATCAATTTCTCAATCGTCCTTTTGGTGTGGAGCCAAATTTGTATGCCCTCAAGACACAACTTTGTGTCTCTGCGTTAGCATGTAAACATCAATGTGTCAAAGTATTGGCATGCCCTTGGGTGTATTGGCACGGGGGAACGTCTGCAATAGTACGGGAAAATAAAAACAATTGTCAGAATGAGAGAAAAACAAAAACAGGATGGAAATGTCAAACTTGGTGACTTGAAAACTTCTCACCTAGACTGGGATGCTCATATTTATCTGTGATGACGAGAGAGCCATTACTGCAACCGGGACTACTTTCGATGTCAAAATCCCCAAAAAGAAGTCGCAACGTGCGCCCTTCTGGAACACGAAGCTTCCACGTGCACCGGGTGTTACTGGGATATGTGCCCGGGTAGTTCTCTGAGGCTAAGGTGCCAGACTCTGTGCCCAGGAGTGTATATCCACAGCCATCACCTGAAACAAAACAGATAAAGCTGTTTCATCGAGTGGGATACTAGAAAAAAATGTTCTCGTGTGTTTCAGTAAGCAAGTGGATGCAAGCAGTTAAAGTGAAGTTGATAAATTCCAATTAATCAATCCTTGATTAAAAAAAATACTGCATATGAAAGATAAGATAAGAAAACCTTTATTTGTCTCACAATGGAGAAATTTGATCCCTTTTTAATTCAATGCTGACATGATTTGTTAGTGTTCCCATTCTAAAGCAGCCACGAGAAGCAGAAGATTTTCACACTTCTCCATCGCCAGCACTTCCTGTCTACGATAGAAGACTAATAAACGCCCCCTCAGAACACACACAGTAAACCACAGCTTGTTTAAAACCATCCATCTGTTAGCAAAGCGATCACACAGACTGTATATAGTGTTTTTAAAAAGTCTACACACCCCTGTTCAAAATGCCAGCTTCAGTGAAATAACAATAAATAAATAAATAGAGACCAAGATTAGCGATTTTGTTTCCACCATTAAAATGACCATGAACATGTAAAACTCATTTATTCTGTGTAAAATTGAATTCATTTGGTTGCGCAAGTGTGCACACCCGCTTATAACAGGGATGTGACTATGTTCAGAATATCCCAATCACATTCACGCTCATTTCAGCACTTAAGTCCATTCCACTGGTTTACACATCGTTGTTTTCTGAAATAGGAAAAGTTGAAGTGATAAAAGTCACAGATTTGTTTGCATTTTTGTCGTACTGATTTATGTTTCCACCACATTTAAATGGTAGACTTTTGTCAAGTTGTTGTGAACACTGAAGAGGCCGCAGGTCAACGTGTCTACTAAATTTACAACTCTAACTGAAGTAGATAAAATTGTCCTTATTCTAATACAGTTTATTTATTGCTTGTGTTTGTTAAAAATAATATATGGGAAGAGGATCTTAAAAAAAAATCACAAAGAAAAAAAAAAACAGTATCAATTAATTTTTTTCCTAAAATCATTTAATCCCAGTTTAAACTCTGAATGTATTTAATTTGTTTCATTTTTTTAAATGCTGATTCATACCACTCATCTGACTTCCGAACCGACATCTGCTCCTCCGACAAACACACGACCCAGACGGAAACACTAATATTTAGATTATCTAACTCATCAGTGGGCCGCAGTAAATAAATGAGCAATTCCCATAGTGATCACACAGAGCTCGGTTTTGCGCGGGCGGTAGCAATAAGTTAAATCAAGTCGTCCAGGAATGGTCAAAAGATTAAAAATGCAGTGGTCACCGTCTGAACTTCATCCTTTGTACTCGTCTTCCATATAAGGGTGCTCAAAGATTTGTTGAGTCCAAACTGCAGGATAACCTTGTGTGCTCACCCTGTGTCCTGAAACCACACACACCAGCCCCCAACTTCTACACAGCTCTTTCTCTCTTTTTCTGTTTTTGCCCCTCTTCAAGCCCCCTAAGGATTTCCTGGAAATGCCGCAGCGACATAGAGTAACCGCGGGCAACCGAGCATGGATTTGTCACTTTCCGGTGGAAGGGTTACTTTAGGGAGCAGTGCTTTGGCTAAATAACCCCCCCCCCCCAAAAAAAAAAAAAACATGAGCTCATTCTATCCTGAATTGACCTGTTTGGGGAATTTAGAAGAACGGTTGAAGAGAAGTGGATTCATATGGGGATAACAAGACCCAGTTCCAAATGTTCCTCTTGTGCTTTGCTGGCAGGCCCTCACAGGTTCACACAAGCAGAAGGGATGCTCACCTGTAAGAGCTGCAACTAAACTGCATTACCCTGCCTAATCTGTCAGTGGCCCTTTTTTGGACAAATATCCCACAAATATTTCTGCATTGCTGAATATTTGACAATATTTTACGTGTCAATGTACAACAGTGACATTAAAGAAAAAAAACTTGTTTTAACCAGAGATCCTACAAGTATTGTTACATCAAAAAACTTCACAGTGACAAATGATCCAGCATCCATATTTCCCTTTTACAGAGGCCGCCCTGCCTCTATTACAGTTCTGTTACTATACTGTTTCTCAAGTAAAATTGATGGGTTGACTTCATCTCCCCAATTCCGTGACAGTCAGTTTTTACAGGAAGACCTCTTGTCGGTGGTGTACAGAGGTGGGGAAAATGCCACCTTTCATAGGCAGTGAAAAGCCTCTTTTACACAGAGATACTGCAAATATTGACCGAACAAATGTTCGCCCTTACTTTTTACACAGACCCAGGAGAAGACACAATTTGAGTTTTCACACAGCGTTACACCATCCCACAATCAGATAATCAGCTGTGAGACGATTACTTTTCGGACAAAAACAGTTGCTTTCGCACAACAGTGTTAGAGAGTGAGTGTTACGTGTTAAATTTCATGCTTCTGTCACACCTTTCCTGCACGCCGTTGCACACAGAGGCGATCCCGATTTTGTTACGGCTCTGATACCTCTGAACGCGTAAAATCTCCCCAATTTGATGTTCGTGCCCTTTCTCTATATCGGCGACAAAAATAAAATTTAAAAAAGCAGTTTATTAAACAAAACAGGTTATTAAGGGTATCTTCTGTTTACATTTGACATTTCCGACAGGAAACTTGAAAGCATGGTGTAAGTATATGTCGTCTGGCACACGCGCATACCTTTGTATTTAATTTTTAATTTTACTTTTATATTTGTGGTCTAGATGTGTTTTTCAAACAATATTGACTGTAATTATGATTTAACCACTGCGGTAGCATAGGTTTTGTGATTGACGCAGCATAGTCTTATTTACTTACAAATTCAAAATCCATCTGAAACCAACGACTTTGTGTTGATACGCCGACACACAACACTAGCACTGGCATGACCCAGGATGTCCCTTGGGATCACATCCTGGGATCACTCCCAAGACTGTCCCCCTGTGGGACAGAGTGCAAGAGAGGCAGACAGGCAAAGGTGTTTGGACTAACGTCCCAAAAAGGGACACCATTGGCAACATTAGGGAGCACCAAAACCTCTGGGTCATGCCAGTGCTAGAGGGGAAATAACATTTTTTTCCATTGTGCGTGGGTCCCACCTCCACTCTGTCTGTTTCCGAGCAATTGCAAAGTGACTCAAGTTAATTATCAGCCGGCGTGAGGAAACCAAAGCCACAAGGAGACGGCCAAAAATAACGCAGTGATTGCACTCTTGAGTGTCGAAGATAATGATGGCATAATGTTTATTGATGTGGCATACGGATCCCACTTTGTTTGGGAAGATTTGTGGTAAACTCATAGATAGCTGCAGGTAAACATGAAGGGAAGGGATAAATGTGTCATACGTGATCAACCCCCCCCCCCCAAAAAAAAATCGTACTTATGGATATAAATGACCACAATATGATAGAACAACATGCAAAAGTGTAATAATTCACTGCGAATGCATACTCAACCTACCCAAATAATAAAAATGCATGTTTTGACGTGACAGTGGTGTGATGTTGGAGAAGAGTAAATGTAAACCCAGTTTTACAGTATGGCTGTGAGTTCCGGCAAAGATATTAAAAAATATTTGTTACAATGAAAATACGTTTAAACATTTAAAGCAGTTGCTAGCTTGCAAACTTGTAGGAAAAAAGCCCCAACGAGTAATTGTAACTTACCCTCTTGGCCGTGGACGCGTATTGAAAAAGCGCAAAATACAAGGCAGAATACAATTAAAAGTGATTTCAGCGCATCTCCGAGGTTTTCGTTCTTTGTTCTCATGGTTTTCAGTGCTCAGTTGCAGGCGAGAAAAGTGTAAGCCGCAGAGGCTCTGGTGTGTTCTTGTGTTCTGCTCTCGCATCGGAGGAAAAGTTGTAGTGGAAAGTACAGGGTGTTTACTATTGGCCACGAGGCGCTTACTGGACTTGCGATTGGCCAAATGCCGTGTCAATCAATATATCGCCCGCATTCCATTCCGAAGAGGCGGGCTACTGTCCATACTGACCTAGAGTCAGTCTGCGCGCGCTTATTAATGGTTTACCTTTGTTTACAGGGAAGGTAACGCTGAACTCGGATCTACTGCACTTTGTTCATGATTAATCGCTGCAAGTATGTTATATTGACATGTTTGAACACTCTACGTTTACGCCCCCGTCACCCTTTGACTATAGCACGTCTCCTCTCGAGGTGCGTTCCAAAACAAAGAGGGAGAAACCACACAAGTGGCATTTTTTACATTTTTAAGATTTCCTTTTTAGAGTACATAACGCGCGCGTGCGTGCGTGTGCGTGCGCGTGTGCGTGTGTGTGTGTACGTTTTGTCTCTTTAGAGGCGTGATCCGGTATGGGTTGTGTGGCGCGCCAATCAAGCGGCGCCCTCGCACATAAGAGTAATTTGACCGATTTACACTGCATCGCGTGCGAACGCACCGCTTGTCGTGACAGCGGGACAGATGCTTCTCAGGCAAAGGCTGCCTTCAGTGCGGGGAGCGTGGACGCGTCACGGCGCATGCTCTCCTACGTCTCTGGCCGGCGGAGGATGAGGAGAACGGTGTCCCGCTCAACAACGGTAAGTCAAACTATGACAATGTTGACTCAAAGCAGCAAGTGTTGTGTTTGGGTTCGTGTTTTTCTGTGTGTGTGTGTGTGTGTGTGTGTGTGTGTGTGTGTGTGTGTGTGTGTGTGTGTGTGTGTGTGTGTGTGTGTGTAGAAGATCAAGTGGGTTTGTGCGCTAGTTGTGGAGTGTGCGTGCCGGGCTGTGCGTGACGCCGGGCCAGCAGACGTCAGTTTGAGTGGGTGATGGAGTGTGAGGGAGGCACGCAACGGCTCAAGCTCAGGCTACTTGCTAGTGTTGCTATGTTGGAGCGCTTGTATTTGTCACCTATTCATTTTTGAATAGACGGTTAGTAAATGCCACTTTGCTCACTAATATTTTATTGCTATTGTAGAACATACGGCTGCTTCTTTGTGCACGACTGACTTGTGCGTTGTACAAATAATTTCATTGAAATGAACGCTGACTGTTACTCGTGTAAATCTTCTGATGGGGAGCATTTCTTTACACAGTAGCGTGTTGTGCAACAGGATCCCCCAAGCGTTCACCTCAAATTAGTAGTTTGTTTCTAAACTTACTGAATCTTGTAATTTATTACAATATTGACAATGCCGTAACCACCACACTAATGGCAAATTACATTCATCACAATCATGTTTTGCATATCTTTCCTATAGCATCCAGTCAGATAGGTGGTGTAAATAAATAGAACAAATGCACCTTAGGGTAATAGCTAGATACACGATGACGGTTTTTAGTGAATATATATTTTATTATACGTTTATGGATTTATTGGCATGTTGCTGTTTGCCTTATATATCTTATTTGTCTGTGCCTCGACTAGAAATAAATAAAGCTGATTAAAATATGTATCATAGCATGGTAAACGTGTATGTGTGTGTGGTAAACGTGTATGTGTGTGTGTGTGTGTATATATATATATATATATATATATATATATA